CAGAATACTCAATTCCACATGTTGCAGACCACTGGGTCGGCAGCTTCCTTAAGGAATATTCAAAGTCTGGTGGCCACCAAAATATTTACATCAGAATGGCATCTTTCTGCCAAATGATCAGAATCATGATGCACTATGTCGTTTCTTAGGTAAGAAATAGGTAAGGCCCTATTTACATTCCTTCGCAACTTTAGAGAAGGGGGTCCTCATCCCCCAAGAGAAATAACTTCCCACGAATGCCATTTTGGAATTCCATTACAAGTAAGAGTCCTGTTCCTATTCATGCAATATATCTAATATGAGACAAAAATATCCCTTTGTGAACTTGGGTGGAATGTGCCAGAATAGAAACTAAACCACTAACGGTCTGTGTTGGGCTCAACTATAAATTTACTTAGTATAAAAATATCACCAACCCCACAAATTAAACCTCAAAGACACTGTGATTATAAATACTGACCACCTAATGTGAACATAAATTTAAAAGAGGACCAATTTATGATCTAATAGTCTAGACAAAGGAAGTATCTCCTTTAAAAGTGATAGAATTCAGTGATCCAGTTACTGCCAATGCCTATACACAAACTCCAAACGGTCCACCAGAAATGCAACAATCAGATATTATGAAAGAAAGAGAATCATTTAAATATTAGGTGTCACATTCTATTTTCTTCCCAGTGATTCTGCTACTTTAAAAATTAACAAAATGATCAGAACCTAGTAATGATTCTGGGTGTACAAATGAGTCAGAATTTTCTAAGTTTTCACATTATAAACCTAAATCAGATCATGGACAAGCTGTGAACCATCTGGCCTCAGCTCCTCATTTTACTAATCCACTATTTTCTAAAATTTGTGAGAACATAAGGGCCTATTAAATATTATGAAGGTCAGCTAGGCACGGTGGCTCATGCCTGTAATCCCAGCACCTTGGGAGGCTGAGGCAGGCAGATCACTTGAAGTCAGGAGTTTGAGACCAGCCTGGCCAACATGGTGAAACCCCATTTCTACTAAAAATACAAAAATTAGCCAGGCATGGTGGCGTGTGTCTGTAGTCCCAACTACTAAAGAGGCTGAGACAGAAGAATCGCTTCAACCTGGGAGGTGGAGGTTGCAGTGAGCCGAGATTGTGCCATTGCACTCCAGCCTGGGTGACAAGGATGAAACTCCATCTCAAAATAAATAAATAAATACATAAAATAAAATAATCAATCAATAAATATTATGAAAGTAAAAGGTAGCTTAAAATATAACACAAAATTAAGTCCACTGATTAAAGATCCTTAAAAAACTCCTACTTTATCTTACCACAGAGTTTCTCAACCTTGGTATTACTGACATTTTGAATTGGAGAATTCTTTGTTGTGGGGCTGTCCTGTGCATTTTAGGATGTTAGGCAGCTTCCCTGGCCTCTACCCACTAGATGCCAGTAGCCACCTGCAAGGCACGAAATCGCCCCCAACTGAGAATCACTATCCTACAGGGAAATCTCTAATGTAAAATGTTTTACCCAGTGATATGAATAGGTCACGGAATCACTGAAGAGGATCATAGCTCCACTGGAGAAAGCAGGCAGAGAGGTTGAACTATGAGGTAGAAAAGTCATTAAAACATCAGAGATCATTTAAACAGAGAAAGCAAAAATATCAAACACCGTTCCTGGCCAAGTACATTTTCTACACATTCATTTAAGTTTCCTCTTTGCTGAGATCCCTCTTTTAAAATAACAGCTAACATATATATCTGGAGACAGTTTCACTCTTGTTGCCCAGACTGGAGTGTAGTGGTGTGATGTCGGCTCAGTGCAACCTCCGCCTCCTGGGTTCAAATGATTCTCCTGCCTCAGCCTCCCGAGTAGCTGGAATTACAGGCATGCACACCATGCCCAGCTAATTTTGTATTTTTAGTAGAGACAGGGTTTCTCCATGTTGGCCAGGGTGGTCTCGAACTCCCAACCTCAGGTGATCCACCTGCCTTGGCTCCCAAAGTGTTGGGATTACAGGCGTGAGCCACTGCGCCTGGCCACAGCTAGTATTTTTATTTTAGATAAGACAAGTATCTCTGGTTCCTGATCATTTTCAATGTGTAACTTTTGATATAGAATATTTTTATTTTATTTTATTATTATTTTTATTATTATTATTTTTTTGAGACAGTGTCTCACTCTGTCGCCCAGGTTGGAGTGGAGTGGCGCGATCCCAGCTCACTGCAACCTCTTCCAGGCTCAAGTGTTCCTCTCACCACAGCCTCCTGAGTAGCTGGGATTACAGGCACATGCCACCACTCCTAACTAATTTTTGTATTTTTAGTAGAGACGGGGTTTTGCCTGTTGGTCAGGCTGGTATCGAACTCCTGACCTCAAGTGTTCCATCTGCGTTGGCCTCTCAAGGTGCTGGGATTACAGGTGTGAGCCACCACACCCAGCCAAGAATGATATTTATTGAACTACCTGTGATAAAAGAAGTTTTAAATCTTCCCATCTACTGCAGACCAATATGTGGTCCTGCTCTACAGGCTGGTATCCATCCTCTGTACCATGTGGCCCTCTAGCTGACCAGAACTGAACTGGTCCATACCCCACTCAAGAAGACAAAGCTGGCCAGGCGCGGTGGCTCACGCCTGTAATCCCAGCACTTTGGGAGGCCAAGGCGGGCAGATCACGAAGTCAGGAGATCGAGACCATCCTGGCGAACACGGTGAAACCCCGTCTCTACTGAAAACACAAAAAAATTAGCCAGGCGTGGTGGCAGGTGCCTGTAGTCCCAGCTACTCAGGAGGCTGAGGCAAGAGAACGGCGTGAACCCGGGAGGTGGAGCTTGCAGTGAGCCGAGATCGCGCCACTGCACTCCAGCCTAGGCAAAAGAGTGAGACTGTCTCAAAAAAAAAAAAAGGAAGACAAAGCCATGAGTCACAGCAATGTCAAAGTGTTATCAACATTTCTATATGCATAGACTTAATTTCTGACTTTCCTTGTAGCAGAGTGGTAGAAAACAATTTACAGAACAGTGCCTCTCTGTGGGCCAGAGTTTGAGTTGCACTGTTCCAGTTTTAACTACAATTGAGAAGTACAGCTTGAACACCTTTCTAATGCTTTGGCTAACATTTACAAGCCAATTTATAATGTTTTTGACTTCTTTGTTGCTCAAGAGGTAGAAATAAAAGTGACTTTACCATCTTTTGAAAGACGACTATACTTAAAGGAAGACAAGAAGATTTCTTTTAAAATCCATTTTGGATATTTTAACGTAAGACAAAATTATGGAAAATGCCTTCAATTACATTCCGAATTCCTAATACTGCCTACCCTTTAGCCCTTTAAAGAGTTCAGCCTCTTTTGTTGCAATAATTGTGTGGCTGAAAAGTGGGTGAAAGGTAGACTGCTTTTAAAAACCTGTTCTTCTACTAACCTTGCCTTTCCTTCATGAGGATCTTTTAAAAGATGAACATTTTAGAAATGTAACTTGGCGTTATGGGCTTATACTTTCCCTCCAATTAAAGTTCTAGGCAATGAGGTAGAAGGCAGGACTCAACTCCAAAGGCCAGACTCAGACACGGACCAAACTGAGGACTAGCTAAAACAAGGCGGTGGTGGGAGGATGGTGTGGGAAGCAGCTTTTATAAGAAACGCTCATCACTGGGCCATGTCAATTACCATTGCCATGGCAACACGTGGAAGTCACTGCCCCTTATCATGGCAATCGCCCAGCGGCTTGGAAGTTACCACCATTTTCCTAAATATTGCTGCATAATCTGCCCCTTAATTTGCATGTAACTAAAAGTGGGTATAAATATGAGTGCCGACTTGCCTCTGAGATGCTACTCTGGGCACACTGCCTATGGGGTAGTCCTAGTCCACAAGGAGCGGCCCCTTTGCTGCTGCTGCAGCACACTGCTGCTTCAATACAAGCTGCTGTCTAACACCACTGGCTCGCCTTGAATTCTTTCCTGGGTGAAGCCAAGAACTCCCCTGGACTAAGCCCCAATATTCGGGCTTGCCTGCCCTGCATCAGTATAAACTAAGTAAAAGAATGCCAGAGGCAGCTACATTTCCAAGTTACAGCTCCAACTTTTGGAAATTGCTGGAAAAAGTAGGGGAGCATTTTGAGTTTTGCCCAAATGAGTTGTTTTATGATAACAGAACAGGTTGTAGGTGTACAATCATCAAATGCCAAACCAGACAGGGAAACCATCCAGACCTGGGGTCATAGCCTCCCTTCTCAGTGCTAACTTACAATTTTATTCAACTGGGCAAGTCAGGATGCCATAATGAGCCTTTCGGATCATTCTCATGTTTGTCTGCCCATAAGTATTCCAAGCCTTTAAAATTGCTGTCCTAGATTTAGAGAGTACCTTTTTTGATCATGTAGCTAGACCGCCCTACCTGCTTTATATCAATAAAGGTTTCTCTTTAATACGTTGCCAGAAAATTTAATGTGGAATTCATTAGGAAAGGCTTGGCAAAGGTAAACTTGATCCCAAAACTTAATGGTTTTTAGAGAAAGAGGATGATAACAAAGGAATGCAGAGGGCTGAGTCAATATAAAAACAAGCGTGGAGATTTTCTTATCTTTCTCCTAACCACAGTTTGGATGCACAGCAAGAAAAACAGGAGACCTCAGGGCCTGCATTGATTCACTCAGAATTAAGGAGTGGCCAGCAAAGCCCTCAGAAACCAAGGGCACCACACAAAAAGGTTATCTGTCCTTTGAATCACAAAATCCAACCTCTATCAGATAGTCTAATAAAAATGCACATATAACAGTGAAAAAATGTTCCTCTCAGCGTTCCACAAAATTGAACAAATGGTATCTTTCAACAACAGAATGAGCACTAGCAAGTTCTAAAACCTCTTCTCCACCAATTTATTGCTACGTAAGTGTCTCTCGGTCTGATAAGTTGGGCTGAATTTGTGGTTTGTCATCAGAATCATCTCCAGCGGGGTCATTTTCCTCACCCGACTCCACATAGATTGGCCAGTCATTGTCTGTGTCACTCTTTTCTTGGCTTTCGGATGAAGCCTCCATCAAGCTTAGGTTGATAGGCATCAAATCATCGTCATCGTCGGGTGTGTCTGTAACGCAGGTGCAGCTGTCACACAGCCCGAAGCGCCGCAGCCCCTGGGACAGGTGACTTGTGAATGTTCTCCTGCAGCCCTTGCAGATGATTGGACGGTTGGATCTGTGGACCTGTAATCACAAGCGGACACAGCAGATGTCACAGAAAAGGAGATGAGCCTTTTCCACAAGGTCCCATGTGATCTGGACCCTGCCTGACCCTCCAGATTCCTTTTTTAGCACTCCACCTGCATTCTCTGCCACAGTCTTTGTATTAGTCTGTTCTTGCACTGCTATAAAGAAATACCCGAGACGAGGTAATTTATAAAGGAAAGAGGTTTAATTGCCTCACAGTTCCACAGGCTGTACAGGAAGCATGATGCTGGCATCTGCTCAGCTTCTGGGGAGGCCTCAGGAAACTTACAATCACGGCAGAAGGCAAAGAGGGAGTCTGCACTTCACAAGGCCAGAGCAGAGGGGAGAGAAAGAAGGGGGAGGCACCACATATTTTCAAACAACCAGATCTCATGAGAACTCACTATCACAATGACAGCACCAAGGACGGATGGCGTTAAACCATGAGAAACTGCCCCCATGATCCAACCACCTCCCACCAGGCCCCACTTCTAGCATTAGGGATTACATTTCAACATGAGATTTGAGTGGGGACAGAGATCCAAACCATATGAGTCTTCATCTTACCAAGGTTCTTTCTACCCCAGAGCCATTGGACACATGTGGGACATTCCCTTCTCCTCATCATCAACCCTTCACCCCTTATGAACACCTTGGAAGGAGGTCTCTCCTGATGCTCTAGGCCAGTTAGGGCCCCCAGCTAGCGATTCTCACCCATACTTCTTCCTTTGTTGTACATCTCACAAATTGTTGATAAAATTCACTAGAGTGTAAGCTCTAAGAGGGCAGGGACAGAGTCTGTCCCATTCCTTACTATATGCCCAGTGCTTGGCATACAAAGAGCACTCAAGTGAAAGTGAACTGATTTTTTTTTTTTTTTTTGAGACAGGATCTTGCTCTGTCACCCAGGCTGAAGTGCAGTGACACAATCATAGCTCACTAAAACCCTGAACTCCTGGGCTCAAGTGTTCCTCCCCCTCCAGCCTCCCAAGCAGCTGGGACCACATGCACCCATGTACTACCATGCCTGGCTAATTTTTTATTTCTTGTAGAGGTGGCGTCTCACTATGTTGCCCATACTGGTCTTGAACTCCTGGCTTCAAGTGATCCTTCCACCTTGGCCTCCTAAGGTGTTGAGATTTCAAGTGTGAGCCACCATAGTTGGCCAGGATTTTTTTTTTTTAGAGATGGGGTCTTGCTGTCTTGCTATGTTCCCCAGGCTAGACTTGAACTCCTGGGTTCAAGTGATCCCCCTGCCTCAGTCTACCAAGTAGTTGGGAATATAGGTGTGTGCCACTGCATCTGGCTCTCATTAGGATTTTTGACATGGCTGTTTTTTCCCCTCTCATTGGACACCTTTGGTAATTGATATTTTATTTATTTTTATTTTTATTATACTTTAAGTTCTAGGGTACATGTGAACAACGTGCAGGTTTGTTATATATGTATACATGTGCCATGTTGGTTTGCTGCACCCAGTAACTCGTCATTTACATTAGGTATTTCTCCTAATGCTGTCCGTCTCCCATCCCCCAATCCTGACATAGTTTTTATGTACCTTGGATTGTTTAATTATTAGGAAGGCAGATTTGCTAGGGTAGACAGCTATATTCCCCAGATGTGCCAGCAGCTGCTTTGGGAACTATGTTTTGTCTGTTTTTCTGTTTTTGTTTTTTTTTTCTTTTGAGCTGTGTCTTACTCTGTCAGCCCTCTGCCTCGGAGCGCAGTGGCCCGATCTTTGGCTCACGCCAAGCCTCCGCTCAGGTTATAGCAAATTCTCGCGTCTGGACCTCAGATCCTTGAGAAGCTGGGATACATACGGGAGACGAAGCTGGCTATTTTGTTGTTTTTTTTTTTTTGAATGTTTAGTAGATGGTTTTTACCTACATTGGCCTAGGTCTTGACTCTAAAATCTCTTGACCACTAGATTATCCGTCCACCTCAAAGCCTCCAAAGATCGCTGAATTACGGTGTGGAGCACTGCGCTGGGCCTAGGAACTATCTTTTTATGTGTACACTTTTCAGGAACTCCAGACCCAAGTGAGGGGGCTCGCTGTGAACCAATCACAGCCTGTTTTAGAGAGCTCTGGATGCAAGATAACACACAAGAGTGCAGAGACCGGAGAGAGGCTGATACAGAAACCACGTACAATTAGCGCATCCTAGTGGTGGGAAGTGGCATTCTTATGGTGGCTTTATTTGCATTACCCTATGAACTAATGATTGGAGCATCTTTTCATGTGCTTATGGCCATTTGTCTATCTTTTCCCCAAGAATGTCTCAGTCCCAATCCTTTCCAGGTTTAATTTTAAGTTCATTCTTTATCTGTTGCATTATAAAAGTTCTTTTTTTTTTTTTTTTTTTTTTTTTTGAGACAGAGATCGTTGCTCTGTGCCCCAGGCTGTGAGTTGCAGTGGCACATCTCCAGCTCCGCCTGGC